TCTAAAAATGTTTGCAGTGGTTGATCCACGAGACAATGAACTTTCTATGGTTATGTAGAAGTGTTAAAAGCTACCAGTTAAAAGCTACAAAGAACTGGTATAAATGAAAATTGCCAGACATTGATGCAATTGTGAAGAAAGAAAAGTGGATGAAAAGATAACTTGCTGTGGGCAGGGACAAGACCTCGCAGCATCGGACTCGTTATTCGAAGGTCGCAAGTTCGGTCTCTGCCCACGGCAAGTTATTTTTTCGTCCACTTCACTTTCGTCGCAATAGCATTATAATTACTTCTAATAATATCCCCTATACTTTCCTTGGCATCACTGTTTGTCAGTTCTCATTAATATTGTGTCTAACAAAGAAAATGAGCCCTTAAATTTACCTTTCTTTCCCACAAACTGGTACATTGTGCAGGAAGAGTCTTGAAGCAAGATCTTGGATTCATTCGCTTGGCTGAAATGGTAGTATGCAAGCGTTCTGTGGCTGCAAGTAGTCCGATACTTCCACGAGCCCCAGAATGAGGGCTCAAAATTTGTTGTCAGCCCCTTTAAAATACTTGCTTTTAATGCAAGTGCAAATGCTTACTTCAGTTGGCAGCACTGTGCAACATTGCCGCTAGTATGACACAGATCATACTTGCGTGCAAAGCTAGTAATGTCGACGTTGCAGGCAGGTTTGCAAGGCTCACACAAAACTGCAACTGAAATAAGCCATAGTTCATTGCCCCTTTATTGTTGTATGTGTAACTTATCTAATGAATGTTGTATAAAATAAATTGTGGGTCCTCATATATTATTTGTTTCAGCAACTATGGAGTCAAGATTTCTTTTTCGCACCAGTTGTACGATACAGTTGCTCCTTGCATGCACGCTAGGGAGTGGTTACCTGCTGCGGCAACTATACTGCACGATTACTTGTATTACAAGCTGAAAAGTTCTTCCCGAAAAGGGCTGGAGAACAGAAAAGTTCTCCAGCCCTATTTGCACCAACTATGAGAAGTTGATTATGATATGAACTGTGCAGCATGATAACCTGCTGCAGCGGCTGTACCGTCATGCTTTCTGCCCAAAGCATAAATCACAGTTGCTGTGTCAACCACTCGGTGTACACATTACTTGCTGCACCGATCGTACCTCGCTGTATTTGTTGCAAGGCCTGCATACAATCCAGCTTTCTTTTTGCATCGTTTCTTGTTGAGCAGACTTGCAACACCTACTTGAAGCTCAAGGACTGTGTTCTTGAGCTTCCTTTCTGCACTGTCACATATAGTCTCACAGACTGCTCTTCAGTTTTCAGACTGCAAGATAGCTACTCCTGCATCGACATGCAGCTTTTTGCAGACAGTACAATAGGTACTTGTTGCGGCAGTTCGACTATAGCGAGCGGCATCGTTTTGTGACCATGCTGAAATCAAGGCTCCTTAAATTGCTGCTGTTTACATTACCCAGATGATTAGTGTCGCATTCGTGCCATTACTGTGTGAATTCTCACATTAACATCGGTTAGAAGTCGGCACTTACCGCGTCGCTTCTTGCGCAGCATTGTGTGTGTGTGTGATTGATTGATATGTGGTGTTTAATGTCCCAAAACCACCATAAGATTATGAGAGACGCCGTAGCGGAGGGATCCGGAAATTTCGGCCACCTGGGGTTCTTTAACGCGCACCCAAATCTGAGCACACGGGCCTACAACACTTCCGCCTCCATCGAAAATGCAGCCGCCGCCGAGATTCAATCCCGCGACCTGCGGGTCAGCAGCCGAGTACCTTAGCCACTAGACCACCACGGCAGGGCGCCGATTGTTTTGTCTCCTTGTACAGATCATATTAAAAAACAATATGAACCGTAACTTAATTAGCACTTATTGGAAATAATTACAATCATATACTATGTAAACTACTGTACCTTTTGTATAACGTGAAATCTGCAATAGCTGCTTATTGTAACACCTATGCTAGCTTTTGAGAAGAGTTATTGAGTTATCAGTCACATTCTATGTATCAAACAATACAGGGTGAAGCTTGCTTTCTGCACCAACTTATTACATATACCATATCTATCATTAATACTACATTAACATGATATATATATATGTATATATATATCATATTAATGTAACGAGTTCTTTTTCTAAATTCTTACTGACGTCTACTATTGTATATCCAACAGATAATGAGACTGACGCGCTGCCTACTGCGCTACCGAGGCGGACTGTATATCCAACACAGAAATTTTTTTACGTCACTGAAGTCAACCCTCTCACTATCATTCAAAGAACCCCACTAGGAAAAAAATTTCCAGAACCCTCTAACTCTACAATCACGATCCCTTGGGCTACGATAGAGCAAGTACGGTAGTCACTCGTTGCACAGACTGCATGAAGGCAGTATATCAGCTACTTCCGCCGCCGGTACAACAGTCCACTTGCATCTGAAGGGCTGTACACTAGATCCGTTGGGTTCACCAGCACCACACGAACCAGTTCCAAAGGTACTGCACTATGCCACATTGTTTCAAAAGGTTCACGATCTTCCTGCACCTCCTAGGCGCCGACTGTGCCGGCTTGGTGCAGCCGTGTGCGACGTACCCAGCTCTGCTAACGCAGTGCGTTTTGCCAAGATGTTTGCCCCCTCATGAATTGTCCATATATATGTGCAGTTTGCCATCGCTGTAAACTAAGCGGACAGAAATAAGGCCTGCACCTTGTCAGCACCTCATTCAAGTGTCTTGCTGCACCTGCACCACTGAACTCGCGTTGCACAATTTCTCGAACTCTTCCGCAGCCATGAACTGGTTTCGATTGGTGCAGGTGAATCTAATGGACCCATTGTCAAGCTTGGTTTATAGATAAACTCTCTTTTTGCACAGACTGCAGTATTCTCTTTCTGGAAAAGTAACTGTTGCATTGCAACTGGGTAAATATGGTTTTTACAGGTAGAATCGTAGCTTATTGTATAGATGGTATGACGATTACTGGCATATTAAAGACTGAACTACCAGACTTTTCTTCAGCACCAAATGTTACATATAGCCAGGACAGACTGCACAAACGCTTTCGCAGGCTGAATGATAGCTACTTGTTGCACAAACTGTACAGCATGGTTACTTGAACCCCTTGGACTGTACTGTTGAGCTTTCTTCCTACCCCAAGCATTACTTCCAGTTGCTTGCTTCACTGACTGAATGATGGTTTCTGCAGACAGTACAATAGCTGCTAGATGCATAGACTCTGCAGCCAAGAACTTTACAATGCCTAGCTTCCAGCACAAGTTCTTGGTTACCTGTTGCACAGGCTGCTTAACCTGTCAACTGTCACTTGTTGCACAAGTCTGAGGGCTGCAACATCACTTTTGAAGACACAGCCGAAGTTTATGCTTATCAGTGACCTTTCTCATACTTCCTTGTTTGCATGAGTTTGCATATTGTCTCTGTACAAGAGAATATAATAATGGCAGCTAGGGGAGAGGCACCTAGTGGAGATCTCAACCACTTTGTCTATTGTCTATTGCCACAGAGCGCAAGCTCTCTGGCAATAGGTCACATTGCTTAACACATTCTCAACGGTGCTCTCATATTCTCATAGGGCGAGGCTGTCGCCAGCGATGCTTAGGCACTTCAAAAGTTGAGGCAAAGCAGTGGCAAAAAAGGGGTGTAGTATTTCTGTGTGGTGCCAAGTGCCACTGACGATCAAAGATATGTTAAATCAAGCCCCTATATTACAAAATAACAACACAATAAAAGTCTAAGCATAGTTTCGCGACTATGCTACACAAGGTCCATTCGATTCACCTGCACCAATTGGAACCGGTTCACACCTGTGCATACAATGTTCAGAAATTGTGCAGAGTGCGACTATGTGCAGAGAGTGACGAATGACTATGTGCCGACAAGGTGTGGGCTTTATTTCTGTTCGCTTAATTTAGACCGTTCAACTAACACTGACCAATGGCAAACCGCACATGGACAGTTCATGAGGCGCAAACATCTTGGCAAAACACACCACGTTAGTATAGAGGCGGGTATGGCCCCTACGCCTAAGTACTGTGTCGTCTGCTCAGCTGCACGTGCGGATACACCAAGCCGGCACAATCACCGTAGGAGGTGCAGGAAAATCGTGAACCAGTGCTGCACCTTTTGAAATGAATGGCAAGGTTCAGAGGTTGTCAATGCTGAAACGAATGGCAAGGTGCAGCACCTCATGAACTGGTGCAGCACCTCATGAACATGTAGCGCAGGCAAATTGAACAGACCTACAGTTGAAAAAGCCTGAACGCAGACGAGGTCAATAAAAATTTAAGTCGCGCCTTTTGTGACAAAGTGCCATTAGTCAAATGCAAAAGCAACATCTTTGCTTACAGTGCAGTGCAAGCACAGTGGCCCAAGAACAAAGAAAAAAAAACGCACTGCGTAGAAACTCGACACACACCTGCCACTTTAGAGGCCATGCAAAGCACCCACCGCGTCGTTTGTGCGCTGCTGTCCGCTGCCTCGTTTTTGATGTCTGGGTTGTACGGCCAGTGCGCTAGCTACATGGCTGAACATTTAGGCGTTGGTCCGTGCGCGCTTGTTACGGGAAAAAAACAAGACCTTCAGGCTACAAAATGATTTGGTGTGCATTTCACGGGCCACAACAACCAAAACTGCCACGACCTTTTACTGGAGATGGAGTTGCATAATGACAACTCCATCTCAAATTAGTGTTGACCTTTCTGGAAAAAGGAAGGATGGGTTCATTATGCAAGTAATCAACACGAGCAGCATCGCTCATGTTGTGGTGGGAGTAGTTTGATAATGTAGCCTCAATGCTGACAAGACTCGCAGCTAAGCTTTTAGAACAGGCACAATTGCCTGGAGACCTCACGAACTGAATGGCTATGTTTTTATTGCCACACAAGATGCCACCAACTTTTAGCTGTGCACTTGCAGAGGGACCATTGCCCCCCTCCCCCCTCGAGCAGGACCCAGCCAAACGAGCAGAAAGAGGCCAGACTCCAAACATGTAAAGTCTGTAAGTCAAAGTTTATTCTTAATTTTCACTTTCCTTTTACGCTGTTCAAAATCATAGATGTGGAACGTCTTCAGTTCCCCACATTATATTTACAAGTTTCATATCCCTCTCGCCCAACCACAAGGCATGTGCGCACATATCTAGTGCACCACCTGCACTTAAGGGAAGAAGAAAAAAAAATCTGTTGAATCTTCAAAGTTTCAACACAGCCCTGCACATGATGCAAGCCTTCTTGCAGTCGTGCATGCACCCACACATACTCCAAAAAAGTTTTTTTCCAAAAGAAATAACGAAATGAAAAAAATTGCATCTTAAATACATGTAAAGGCACCAAAACGGGTCTCCTTTGCCTTTTTTTTTTTCTAAGTTTTGTTCCCTCAGAGAGAGACTTTGTTGTACCAAAAAATTCTAGTCCTTTACAAACAGTACCACTCTCAAGAGCCTCAGCTCTAGGATCAGCAACAGTGCTTAATTTGAATATTTTTTTTTCCTAGCTAAAAAAAATGAAAAATAAAGTAGTCGGGGAGGGGGGAGGACAGGGGGCAAAAAGAAAATAGGACGAGGCCCTACAATAAAAAAAATTCTTCCTGCTTAAAAAGAAAAGTTGCGAGCAATTTGAATTTTACTTTATAGTGTGCATATATTTTTTTTTCTGTGCCCGCAAAACTTCTTCGGTGGAAAACAGATTCGTGTGTGTTTTTCTTTCACACCCCCTTTCTACAACTTTTCACATTTACACCAAACACCACCATCACCGTAGAAGACTTTGTTCACTATATTTAAATAAGGAAATGAAAATCGCATAGCCTTCCCAACAAAGTCAAGTAGTCTTGACAAGGAAGACTGTCTCTTTTCATCACCGGTTGTCCACACAGCTTGTAGCGCCGTCTAAGCGCGGTGACGACTTGACCCAGGGAAAAAACTTATGAAAATAAACCTAGTGGAGGGAAAAGAAAAATGTCTCTGCAACGCTTCCCTACTGGCATCAGTCTTACTTCGTGAACAGAGAAAATAGGCTGCGCCGCCATCTTTTGCAAGATGCGATCCTGCATTCAAATATATTCCTATATATATATATCATATTTATATATATGTGGGTGTGTGTGTGTGTGTGTATATATATATATATATGTTATACATATATATAAACGCAGGTCTAGTATGCACAGGCAGAGAATCCTCCCACACCTCTTGCTTGCTTGCACAGAAAGCAAAACAGACGAACTTGCACGGAGCAAGAGAGGTTGCGTAGGTCTAGTTAAGGTTGGTTAAAACAAAGACCCAGAAATAGAAGCAATCATGATTGTAGCAAATGAACACGAAACATTTGCTTCCAGTCTGAAAAGAAAAAAAAAAGACTCGCAACAACAGTTCCGAGTGGTTGCCACAATCCTAAAAAAGAGCTTCCGAGTCGTCGTCACGCACAGAAAAAGTAAGGTGACACTTTTTGCACGTAGCAAAATAGTGTGGAAAGAAAAAAATATATATATATGTAAATCTGTCCATATAAAAAACACAAAAGGAAAGAAAAAAGGCCAACCTCTTCGGGAAAAGTTCAACGGGATTTGGGGAACCGAGAGGCCGCGGTCTGAGAATCCTTTCAAAAAGAGAAAGGGGGAAAGGTTAGGATGGAGAGGAAAAAAATAAAGGGGAAGCATTGTTGTATTCAGTCACTTTTATCACTTGTCCTTGTTGCAGAGTTCACAGTCACCAAAAACAAAGAAAAAAAAAAGTCACGTCCTTCACTGCTGCTGATGTGTCGTCGTCGACTGCAGCCGGTGTCGCGCTCACAGACACTGAATTTTTTTCCCCCCGCCCCAACAAGACGACTCGGCGGCCACTGGCTGAAGATCAGTAAAGGAAAGGGGCAGCGAGGAAAGGGACAGAGGAAAAGCAAGCACACTTCCCCTAGCTGCGAACAAAAATTTGCTAAAAGCAGACAGTTGCAAAGAGGACAGTGTAGAAAGTGGGAAAGGTATCACCAGTGGCCGGCCAGTGTTTGCAAAGCCAGTTCTCAGTTGCTTTTCCCTTTTCCGCCCCTCCCCCACGCCGGAAAATAGATTCAGAGTTGGGTTGATGCGACGGGGGAGGGAGGACGCCGTGCTTGTTTTTGTTTGTCCGGCTGGAAGCGTGGGAGAGAGCACGACTGGGACCACCTTCTGTCGTGCACTGTCGTCCGCAGTGGTCAAAGAGGGGCTGGCAGGCTGTGGCAACTGCTGCGAACTCAGTTGTCGTCGCCCGATTCTGCGTCTATTTCGGCGAGCCAAGTGAAGAAGGAGGTGGTGGACTTGATGGCGACGCCCTTGCCCTCCTGCTCGGCCAAGTCTTCACTGCGGGACCACCGGTGGAAGGCGTCCTCGGAGATCAGGTCGCAGTCGTAGAAGGCATTGAACAGATGCACCAGAATGCCTGCAGAAAATGGGACAAATGAGTCAGAAAGTGGGCACTTATTTCTTATTTTCGGGTCATTTAAACCTCTGAGCGCCTACTCTCGAATTATTTGGTCGAGAAATACGATAAAATTTGGTCGAGAAATACGATAAAATGAGCCTTCAAAGCATCCCGGCAGCAGTAAAATGCACGCAAAAAAACAATGTGTTCGAACTTAGCGTGCATGCTATGAGCGTTGCGCAGTGGGTTGAGCGGTGCCATCTTGAGCGAGATTTGAAGCCATTGTGCAATAATATGCACCATACCAAAATGGCGTCATCCAAGCGGTGTTACTAACGCCGGGTTATATCAAAAAGGGTAAAAATACCATTCCTTATAACCATGCAATTTTCTATACTTTTACAAAGGAATTTCAATAACTTAGGTGTTCTATATACCCGAAAATTCTGTGTGTTTGCTATATCCGGGATCAACTGTATCTCCAGTAATAAAAATTGTTAATACCAGCATCTTGCCTTAAAAGAACACCAAAGTCAAATAGCAATTTATGTCAGAGTGAGAGCTCAATGTGCGACATCTAAAACGACAATATTATCATCAACAGTGCCCTACCTACCTAGAAATCAAGGTGCAGAAGAACACATGCGCCGCTGTAGGACATTCTCAAAATGATGTCGATGACATCCGACGAACCAGCTACAATAAATCTAATTGTCTAAGTAATGTAAGTAATCAATCTAACTACACCAAATGAAAAACCTGTGCATGAAGAGACCGCCTGACGTTTCTATGGTAAATGGCACGAGTGGTTCCATTTTCGGGTAGCTACACTGGACAAGTGGTTCCATCTAGAGGGGCGCAGTTGAACCAAAAAACGTCTGCAATCTCGGTGCGAATGGTGGGAAACTTATCAATGGCCGTTGTTGCTGCTGGGGCTCCCGCTGCTTTCGGTCTGCTGCTACTAGCGCAGTGAAGCCGGGCAACGTAGCGCACGGCAACAGTGACGCTTTTGTGCACTTCTTGAAGCGGGCAACTTAAAGCACGCTAACCCGATATGGACAACTAAAACGCGATTTTATTTCAAAATTTGCCCTCCTTGGCACAAAAGTAACACCACAAGATTTCTGGACCGCTATTTCAACTATCAATGTCGACCTTGTAGCTGCCTTCAGTGTCCCTTTAAAAGTAGGCTGCCGATGGAAGCACGTCCCAGAATGGCCTCAGTTCACGAGTTATGCTGTGCTTTGCCGTCATTACTCCGGCCAATGCGCATCCATAAAAATGCTGTTGGCAACAGACAGCCTGCGACTATACTCCGTTGCATACATCAGGTGCAATGCTGCGGAAGCTATGCAAGAAGTTTGGCCAACGAAACGTGTATCGCCGGTGCACCCTGGCGTGTCTGTGCTCCCAAGCAGGGTAAGCACAAAAGAACGCGGGACACCCTGTGGTGTCCTAATCTGCACTGACACAAAGTCCAGATGGCCACCATCCTAACGTACTTAGAGTAGAGAGCCTGCATGTGATGTCATGTGAAAACTAAGCTATATAACCACATAATAACAAACGTTCAATGGCAAGTTTTTTTGTAAGGCACATAATATCTTCCATTACTTTTCGCAAAAGTAATGGAAGATTTCTTTTGTGCTCCCAAGCAAAAGAAAGATTTTTCGTGGTTAGAACATTGAACTCATTTTTGTTGCGAACACGTGGACTCCTAGAAGTCTTCACTAGCTTCCGCAATGTGGCACATGATGTGTGAAGCGGGGTATAGTTGGGACGAATGGCAGCTTTCACACGTTCTCCCATGAACTGCACGCTTTCGCTGACAAATGCCCCAAAGCAAATTGGTTACCTTCGTTTATCTACATTTCAAGGGCTCACGTAGCTCTATGGAGATCAAAGAAAAACAGAGTTCACTTAATTATAGTGAGGTTAGGGTACACTTGGCTGATACTTTGGGGAATTAAATCTTTAAGACATGCTCCATCACTGCAGGGCAAAGAGTAGTCTCACCTTTTGGGTGCTCTAGGCGGTTGACAAGAGCCTGCAACGCATACAGGGCTTGTAATTCGCGCTCCTCATCATGGTTGAGGTACTTCTGTAGGAGGTCCGTGTACGTCTTCATTAAGTCCTCCTTCAGCTCGGCATTGCCATCACCAAGCACTGAGCAAGACAGTTTTACAAAATGTCACTATGTCACCACTGTTAACTGGAAGTATATAATGCAGAAGCAACTGAAAATCTTCATATGTTGAGAACAATAGTGGTGGCTACCAACTTCCAGTGCCACCTCTCTAGATGTATGACTAAGACACGGAAAAATGCCTGAGAGGGGAGGGCAGTACTCACGCGTGATGGCATTCTCTGCTACGGCAGTTACCAAGGCACGGATGAATGGCGGCTTTTTTGTCTGAGCATCACCAAGGTTGGACTGGACAAACAAAAACAAGTTTCACATCGTGCTGCCACAGAAGCCTCTGCTGAACAGTCACTCATTTTTCAGGCAAATCGTAACAGTCGAAAGTAACGACGTGTCCTGCCATTTTTTTTTTTTTTTGCAACATTTTATTGCACAGCAAGTTAGCGTCGCTAAACACCACTTTGCACAGCTCACCTCAATCCATTCAATGATGGTGGGGGAAGGAGCTCCCTTGGTGCGAATCAGGAAGTTGAGCTGGGACTCCAGCTCAGGTGGGGGCGCGACAGATCCACCTTCAGTGCGACCGGCGGGAGCGCCGCTGCCTGTGCTCGGAGTGGCCGGCACTCCTCCCAATGTGAAGGCAACACCCTGAAACAGGCACAGCACCAAAATGAAGGCACGCACACATAAACAGACCCACGCAACTAGCTAACTACAGAGAGTGGCCAATAGACGTACATTAGCCTTTGCGAAGGCTTCAGCATCCTCCCCGGGCTTCAGAAAATGGCTCCACTGGAGGCCCGCTGTCCTCCACATGTTGACCACAGCAGACTCGCCCTGTAAAATTTAAGTTAACTGGCTGCACTCCACTGTTACACCAAAACAAGCAACTTTTTCACTCTAATGGGGCACCGCTGTCACAGCTCTGCATTGAGATAATGTCGTTACACAGGCTTTATAATAAACAAAAGATAATTACTCTAACAACACTGTCGCGTGCCCTTTTTTAATTGTACTCACCAGGGTCTTGGCGAGGAAGGCCAGCACACAGGCAGCCAGCCGGCCCGCCCGTCCGATGAGGCGCAGGGGCTCAGTGGCGTCCCGCAGGTACTGCAAGGCCAGCAGGTCGAGGAAGAGTGGAGAGACCAGCTCAGCCACATACTCCCACACCTTGGGGATGTCCAGCTCCATGTCTTCGCCAAACGCAAGCACCTCGTGCAGCCCCTTGGTGAAGACGTCCAGTGAGAACACCTTGCGCTTGAGCAGCTCCTTGAGCAGTTGGCCAGTGAGTCGGCGGGCCTCGGTGTTGCGGTCTAGCGTGTGCGTGATGGCTGTAGACACAAACTGGTGCACGTTGCCTGGCGACGCAAGCTCCACCACGTTCTGCACCGCGTCCTGCAGGTCGCTGTTGCACAGGAACTGGTCCACCAGGGCCTCTGTCCGTGCAATCAGCATGTCCTCATCCATGTTGGCTGGGCCACGAAGGGCCATGCCCGGCTCCCGAGACTTCTCTTCCCGAGCTTCTGGTTCGTGAGATGGCGCAGAAGCGTTTGGCGCCGCCGCCGATGAAGGGGCATTGGACGAAGTGATGTTCTTGACCGCTGCCAGAGCGGCATCTCTCTCGCGTGACTGCGACGGTGTCTTGCGTGCGCCCATAGACGACGGCATGGACGACTGCTGCTGGCTCCCACCCCGGCCGCGGCTTGACTCCCGACTTGAGGCGGTTGACCGCTGGGCTCCTCGCCGAGAGTCAAAGGACGGTGCGTCGGCCAGGGCAGAGAAGCGATTCGTGGCACCAGGCGGTCGTCCCTCAGGCTCCTGCAAAGAGGCGAGAAATGTTGCGACACCCAAACCAGTGAGTCAAGCTTCATTATTATGTACCCGCTTTAAACATGCCAATAGTTGAAACATATTTGCCACAAATCCCGGCAGTCCCATAGAGTAGTGCATGGGCCATAGTGGTTCGTTTTATGTCAACTGGTTAGTGCGTACCACGATCAGTATTATTGCTATAAAAGTTTACTGCGCCACTGACAGCGCAATATGCCGTAATATATGTCGTTTTTTGGCGCTTTGAGAAGTGAGGATATTGGCTGATTGATAATTCCGAACACCGCGTGATTGCAATGGTGCCTTTGTGGGTGGTAATCGGGTAAAAACAATAGCGTGGCAACAACCACCGACGAACATGCCGGCATGATTCATCACCAACAAATATCTTCAGGCAAACGTGAAGCACAGCGCCACATTAAAGCCTACGGCACGCTTGTAATAGGAGACTACCTGAACGTGTTGGACAACCAATTGCTGCCGCCTCCTTACACAGGAGAGATGTGCGCCCCTCGACACGTGTCAAGTAGGCAAAGCGCTACACAGCTAAGTGCAATTACTTTTGCTTTATTCGTATAGTGGTACGCAAGTATTGAGGAAAACCCGTAATCTTCGTTCTGCCGCTGTGTCAGTCACTGCGCATCCTGGACCTGCAGTAGTTTCGAAATGCTCCTTGGCTTCACCACCACAAGCCATCAAACTGCAGTGCGAGATTGTCAGAATTTTTTGTGCATTTGGCAAAAAGAAAGCTTTGTGGTGGGCATTTTAAGCAATATTTGGTCGCCTTCCCAGCAGTTATTTATTGACAACGTTTCACTGTACTACAATGCAACAGCATGAAATTTGCTAGTAGGATCACATGGTGTGGCAACTGCCACTAGATTTCAAATATGTACGCTCACACAATTTGAGCATCCCCATGACCATGATCCTTCAGCCCAATACTGGTAGGCATTTACAAGGCACAATTATGAGGGACCCCGTAGCACAGGGCTCTAGAAAGTTCAATCATTAAGTGTCCTGTAATGTGCACAGAGGCCTCTGGCAACCTAACCGACACGACTATTGTAATGGCACAGGAGAAACAGTTGCGCCGAGCAAAAGAAATGGTATAGGTGATGATTAGACTGGAGTGTACCTGGCTTGTCGACTTGCCGCCGCCACTGCTGCCCTTGGCCCAGGAGGACATGCGAGAGCCAGGCCCCAGCTGTATGGTGTCCATCTCCGTCTGCTTGGTGCTGATCTGCTTGAGCTTGTTGAAATCCACGTGCTTCTTGGTGGGCACCGTGTTCCAGCCGTCCTCAAAGCCCCCGCCACCACCAGCGCGGCCGCCCTTGCGGCGGTCCTCGCCTCGCTTCGGCCGCGGCATGCTGTCTCGCATAAGCTCCTCGTTCACCTGCTCACGCTGTGCCTCCTCGTGAATCTGGTCGATCGTCTTCGGGATGTTTTCGTCTCGTCGAGGGATCCATTTCCTCTGTGAAGAGAGAGCGCGGCAAACAGCAGGTTAACCATTCAGTACTTACGGGAGTATTTCTGCCACGCAACAATAATAATTATCTACTGCGTGTATTTTCCTCGCATTATCACCATGGTTGAGGTAGTTCACGGTCACGAATGACGTGCACATGAACACTGCGCAGCAGGCACCTTGAAGCACCGAAGGGATAGTACTCGAACCGCACGTACTGTAGCAAGAGACGCAGTTTTTCTATCCACTTATTGCATTCAAAGTGGTATCAGCAATTGCTGCCTTTTAGGAACTGTGTGAAGCAGTACTTAGGGACAGAGTTCCAGCTTCCACCTGCCGGTACAATATCAATCCAGCAATGTTTGCAGCATTCATGTATGCACCTTGACAATAAAAGGGCGTATTTACGGGGCAAGTTTCAGACACCAACAATTATAAGTTATCTCGCGTCCATTAGTCCTGATGGCGTTTGTGTCACTGAAAATTTGTGTCACTCCCAACCGTATCTTGAGCCCGCGCTGCGACCAGGCACGGAGAGAGGCTTTTTTTTTCCCCTTAATCAGGGGGGGGGGTGACCACTCATGTGAAGGTTCGCACATACAGACCTATTCCATGTTTGTAAACAGCAGTGGGCGCTGTCGTGGCGAATAAGCACCGCCCAACCCAAAGCTCGTCACTGCCGTCAGTGATCACATGGCAGCTGGCAAAGCATCAGCAAAGTGCCTCCGAGCAGTGCGGCGTCAACACAGCAAAGTGGCGCCGACATATTTAAACGAAGTAAAAAACACCGTGCCGCCAACTGTTAGTATTTCCAAATGACGATGCCTCGTCTGTGGGTGCTGCAGCGCCGGATTGTCGCTGACGGTTGTCATGAAAATTTCCCAGAAATCTAAATTTCTGTGTGTGATCTGGCCGCATTGACAAAAATGTTGGTCCATCCGCTCCAGGCTTTTTGTGAACCCCCGATTTAGTTGTAAGCGAATTCAGGAGGCGTTTATCTAAATGTAGAGTATAATCTCGGTGATGCGAAACCAGCAGATATGATTTCGCTAAAGTCCACAGCCAAATTAAACTGTATCCGTTGGGCCAAAGTTTGTATGCTCCGAACACTTTTCCTCATAGCAGTGGGTGATATGAATTTTAGTTATGAAACCGTCGAACGAAGCACGAGAGCAGCATGCTCAAATCTTCGAAAGTACTACGCGTGTGTCCAGCTACGCGCACTGCCTTTTGCAGATGTGGTTATCGTTTGCCAAAACCTCTATGGACGAAACCGCAGTCGCTCTCGACACGATCGTGTATGGCGACAATGTAAATGACAGAACTCCAAAAGTGTACACCCACTCAACGCTCGATCAGTTTAAGCGACGCCGCTTTCCGCAAACGCTGCGGAGAAAACTGCAGCAGATGCAATCATAGCCAAAAAATCGCAGCAAATCCACGCAGTGAATGATGATAAGCCGGGCGAAGCTTCAGAGGGTTTTATCGGTAAACCGTGAATCTTCCGTCCGTATGTCTGTCCGTCCATCTGCACCTGCTGAGTGAGTCATAGAACTAAGCAGTCAGGTACCAAGAGACAAGCATGCACAGACCCACTGCTTTAGACGGTACGCTAAAACGGCTTAGTTTTGAAGGCACGTGCACAGTCAGCGCACGTGGATTTAAAATAAAACTACCGTTTGCCGCTGTAACGCACGCAACCACTTTTGAGGCGAGGAGATACCGATCTACTAGCTCCGAGGGCACGTGGCTAGCGCAGTGGTAGAATAAAGGCAATAAACACGTAAAAAAGGCTAGACGCGTTTTAGCGTTCCTGTCCAAAAAATATAGTAACGTAGAAAAGCTTTGATACCGTTTTTGTAGCAGCCAGCTGTTCCGTCCCGTTAGTTCACGTGTGTCCAAGTTCCGATAAACAATTATGCTAGTTTTCTTCACGACTTGAAATTTCGGGAGTATTTGCGCTCCCCCTTCAAGACTCGCACGTTACTTGGGAAACCCTACCGTTCTGTGTTCAGCTACGGTAAACCATTGCCACGGTAAACCATTAACACGTATAAACTTTTTAAAATATAGTCGTTTTAGGGATACTTTAATAATCTTTAAAGACTATAGCCGTTTCATGGATAATTCATTGCAAAAACTGGTCTCTCTTGTATGCAACGATTCACCTACCGGCGAAAGCTTCCAAGGTTGGCAACCCCCATGCGCTGTTTTTCGGGTTTATTTTTTTGTACAAAGAAGAAAATTTGCATTAAATACATAACTAAGGCCCAACCACATGCACACAATTTTCAAGCAGCGACAACAGGATTTTCTGTCGCTATAGTTGTCGCGAAGGGCCACTTGTCGCCATCGCGTCTTGGCGTTTCTGGAAAACCAGAAAGAAATCGCTTGTCCCCCAGAAGAGATCGTGACTATTTCCGCAACCTGGTCCCCAGATTCTCGCTTCGGTAGCAAGCGAGGCGGCGGCCGTATTTAGTCTTTAATCTTGATATCGACTGCTTGTTTTGCTGCTTCGGTGGTAGGTTGCTGCAATGTTGGTTGCTTGCTACAATGTAAATGGCATCGTCACGGTCGCCGTGCGAGGTTACCACACGTGTTGTAGCTACGCTTCTGGGCGCCCCTCGAGATTACAGCATATACTATTGTTAGGGTGAACTTGTGCAAAAAAACATAGCCGCGAAACGCTTTTATGGCGTGCACAGCCTTGCGGAAACGGCTTGCAGAAGATAGCGCCTCCAACCCCCGAAGATGAGTGAAGTGCAACAAAGAAGCTGAGCGACCTAGCTTATTTTTTTGCATTACCGCATTTTTAAAAAAGGTAAGAAAATTTTTCCCTCATAATAATCGCACCCCAACCTGGCTTTGATTTTTTCGAGAAAACAAGTCCGTTCATTGCACGAGTAAATACGGCATTTCTCTTCCTTGCAATTGTTGGACCTCTGGGTTGTTTACTGGCCTTTCAACAATGGCGCCTAAGCAGACGCATGCCACTACTGCCCTCCTTGAAACATAGGGTGTTGCCAAAACCAACATTTTCAAGTCTTGTTTACAAGGCAGCAACCTTGAAGTAGGCAAGACAACCTGTCAAAACCTCAGCTCCAGCAACACTTTCACGTTCTAAGGATTTCACTTCGGGATTCCACCTCCCCTGAAGTCCTTTCTACCTTATCTGCATTGGCGAAGTCAGTTTGGCCCTTCTCATCGACGCAGAACGTAGCACGAGCATACTCACCTGGCGAAGATCGATGACGTCCTGCAGCATGAAGACGACCCGGAGAGAGACTTCCCGCTTCTTGACGATGTTTTCCATCTTGCGGAAGTACTCGTCCAGCTGCATTTTAGGATTCACCTTACCACCCTGCGTGTCCACATTTCAAGGCGCCGACGGACGTGCGGAGGTGGATAACCGACGCACCCAAAGAGGAGGGGCAGGATGGGGGAGGGGTAAAATAAAAGAAAAGAAAAAAAAAATAAGTGCAAAAGTGCAAGGTTAGGGGAAAGCCAACCGAGAAAAACCAAACAACAAAATTGCAAGAACCAAGCGCAAAAGCATAATGCCATAATGTATGTATAAAATGTTAAGCAAGTTGTGAAAAAGTAAAAATGGGGATACCAAATCTGAACGGAATAATAGAAATAGCTGTATAGATAGGTAATCTGATAGTATACTCAATATTTCAGATTTCACAAACACAATACAGGGGAAATTTACAATTATTCAATGCACACAACAGATTGTGTGATGAGAGGGTGAGCACTCACAAAACAGACAATGTGAGTCTACTTTAACTTTAAGGGGGGGCGCGGCAAGTAAAGTGCCGATTTTGGTCAAAATATGCGATTTTCTGATTTATTTTTTTTTGTAATCTTCAGACCTTCAACTTCCTTGTTCTAAAATATTACAGCGAAACGTGCGCTACAAATCCCGCAAATAGTGTTTTTGCCGAGGCTAGTCGCCGAAAAGTGCGAAAAAAAAGCCCCTGAAACGGTGTTGTTCACGCCGCACAAACGCGCCAAGTTGTTGACCGTGGGCCGCCATTTTGGTAGCTTTGGAAAGAGGAGAAAGCCGGCTTCCCGATGGTCGCGGTCTCGTATTTCACCGAGTGAAAATAAAAGCGCGAGGAGCAAGTAAAAAAACGAAAACGAAGAACGGCAATTGGCTGCGCGGGTCACGTGGTAGCAGGCGCGACCTCTTACTGGTCAAAGCTGCGCCGCGCACCTTGGCAACCTTGGAAGCGCGAGCGCATCTGCGGCCGCCGAGTCGAGAATCATCCGGCGTGCGCTTCGTTTTTTGCCAGTTGGCTGTTTTTGTGATAGTTCGCGTGCTTTTTTTACCAAGCTTTGTTTTACATCGGTGGTCTCTTCTGAGTGCTTGCTCATACTGCGGTGCTATGTTGTCGCAAAAAAAGTTCCGGAGCGTCCACAAGTACGGCAAGCGTCGGAAAGCTTGGAACAAAGGGCAGACGACTGCGGCTGCCGTCCCAGTCGCAGTTCCGGACGGAGCATGCTCTTCAAGCGTCACGGAGCCTCTACTCAGACCCTTCGCTGATTGTTGTGAGGCCGAGAGTGTGGAAGGTGCCACATCGTCGTATGTCAGACCGCCGGATGCCGTCGACCGTGATGGACGCTCTCGCGAACCCGATTGCGGTGGCACCGCGTCGGCAGCCGTTGCAACTCCGGGCGTGCGCGCGTCGAACATTCTATCGCGAGTTTCGGCCCAGATTCCGAGCAGTGAAGAAATCGCGCAGCGGGCGCAGACAAGGCGGGATGTTTTGGATGCCGTAGCATCGAAATCCGCTTCAAAGCGGAAGCTCGAGCTTCTGAACGAAGGCTGCGACGAAAATGACGGCGGTAAGGACTCCACATTCTTCATTGTAAATAAGAAGATGCTGAACGGTCTGCTTTCGTCAGTAAAGTGCAACAAGTGCGACGAAGGGTCGATACGCCTCGAGACTACGCACTGCCTTGGACTCGCGGCGAGGATGGAACTTTTTTGTGACAATTGTGGCATAGTGAACAGTGCGTGGTCGTCCCCGAGGTGCTCCGGGCAACAAAAAACGAACCCCTTTGAGGTAAACGTGCGTGCTTTGAGGGCTGTGCAGTCAGTTGGCAGAAAACAATCTGCCATAAATGACATTTTTTCTGCGATGGACATTTCGCATCGAGCACTGCACCACAAGTCCTACCAGAGACTGCAAAGGAAGTACAGCCACCCTGCCACCACATCAGCTGCCACCCGCATTGAAGCAGAAAGTGCACAGAAGGTGCATGACATTTACAAGGACCTAGGAGGAGTGCCAGGCAACATTGACGTCATTTACGACGGCACGTGGATGACGAGGGGGCACAGAAGTCATATTGGCGTGGGCTGTGTAATCGAGCTGTACACAGGCTTGGTCTTGGACCACTGTGTCCTGTCCAACTACTGCCAAGGCTGTGCTGTTGGTCCCAAGCCTGGTGACGACAACTATGAGGAGTGGCTTGAGAAACACAAGCCACAGTGCCAAAAGAACACCGATGCTAATGCAGGCCAAATGGAAGTAGAAGCAGCGAGGATCATGTTTGAAAGATCGTTTACCAAGTACAAGCTTCGATACATCAATGTGTGAGCGCCCGCATGCGCACTATAGCGTAGCGGCCTATCTAATCGGCAGCGCCACCTGCGGCGCCTTTACTCAGATAAACTCCAAGCCCAAGCGAGGGCCGGGGACACGTTTTTATCAATCTCGCTCCCGCCTCCGGCGCGGTCGGCACGTTTTCATGTTCGAATAAAGCGCATTCTTCTCGTTCACAACGCCTCTCAGCCTTCATGCCTAGCCCGCCCAGCCCCCACAACTGGCGCAGTCGACTCCGAACCATGCCTGGAACGTCGCCTTTTGCCCGCCTCGTGAAGTGATCCACCGGACTAGCCGCGCGGCGCTCCGTCCTGTGTTTACCGTCCGCCGCCCGATACGCCTTTCGGCCGCTTCGTCCGAGTCATTTCGTGCCTTTGCCTTTTGTTTCGCCGACCGTCGTGCTGACGCCCACCCGCCCGATGAAGTAGCTCGCCTGCAGAGCCGAACCAACTTGACCTGCCCGCCTTTTTCGTCTCTCGTGAGTCTTGTGCTCCTTCTGCTAATTTCTTGTGAACGCCATGCCGCTGTGAACTGGAACGAGGCTACGCCTGAGGACCTCGCCGGCTTTACAGCAGACTTCCTCCGTGAAGAGTTGGTTCGCCGAAACCTGGACGCTACGGGGCCGAAGGAAGAAGTGATCAATCGTCTCCTCGCCGATATAGCCCAAAACCGCTCAATGACGCCTTTGTCGCCTTCCCCAGACTCCTCAGCGTCCAGCCAGCGCCCGAACACTACGCCGCTTCCTTCGAGCTTCGATGCAGCCCAAAGTACCGAGTTGCTGACGGGTTTACTTCAACAGCTCCTTCAAGTGTCACAACGCGCTGCAGCGCCAGTTCAGGTCACGACCCTTCCAGACCTGTCCGCATCGCTTCCTACATTTAATGGAGACGGCAGCATTTCAGCGTCCCACTGGATTGAAGAGTTGGAACGAACTCGAAACCTAGCTTCGTGGGAGCCTTCAACCGTACTCGCCGTCGCTCTGGGAAAGCTCCGTGGAGCAGCCGCGGATTGGAAAGCAGTCATTGGCCGTCAGTGTCCCACCTGGGAAGCCTTCAGGCAAGCTTTCTTGGATCAATTCAGCGCCAAGCAAACCTTACTACAGTGGCAACAAGCTGTTACTTGTCGCGTGCAAGCGCACGGAGAGAACCTGGTCCACTATTCTTTGGCGAAGTTGAAGCTCATTTCGGGATGCCCAGTCACTCTTACCGACACTCAGCGCATAGAGTACGCCCTTCAGGGCATTTCCGACGAGAACCTGGCCACTACTATAGCAGCACAACGGCCAGAAACCGTCGCCGCCTATATGGACATCGTAACGCAGCTTGACCAAACATTGAGCCACTTGTCTCGTCGACTCCCACGCCCAGGGTATTCAAGCACCAAACTAGTAATGCCAAGCCCACAGGTGCCCCACCACAGTGAAGAGGGCACGAATGTTCAGGCGGTACCAGACAAAACAAGACAGCCGCAGCGAATCGCAGCCCTACCACCAGACCAACAAGAGGCTCGGTACCTGACCATCTCTACGAGGCACGGCGCTCCTGCCTACCGTTCTGGCCAGAACTTGGCCGAAGCCGTGTGTTTTCAATGCCGCCAAAAAGGACATCTAGCTTCAAAGTGCCCATCCAGAGCTACTGCCACACAGTCTACAACGCATCCTTCGCCAGCTCTTCACAGCACACTTTCCGAGACCCTTGATGGATCGCTGGTCCAATGCGCCCTTGTAAACGCCACAATTGCTGGAAGCGGCCAAGTGGACGCATTTCCAGACAGTGGTTCCAAGGTGACACTTGTTTCTCGTCACCTTGTCAGATCTTTGCCCCTCCTGCCCTGGACCAGACCCCCTCTAGTTGTCGTTGGAGGAACGACAGTGGCTCCTGCTGGTGCTATCTGCTTGAAGATCTCTGTGGGACCCATCACCGGTTTGGTGGAAGCCGCCGTCCTCGATAACAATGCCATGCCACTTATATTGGGGGAAGACTGGTTTGCTGCCAGTCACGCACAGTTGGTGTTCCAGCCACCCATGCCAACTGAAATTCGTCATCCCACCACAGGAACAAGGGTGCGGTGCTATGAGCGACTGTTGCCCAGGATGTCGAACGCTGTTATGATCCAGGGGTCATCTTTCAATTACCATGTATCTGGACACCACAGCTCAGCAGGCCTCCAGCGAATGCCACTCCCAGGCCCAGATGAACCCCCGTGGTTAGCACTATCTTGTCAATATGAGGTTTCAAACACCAACGGCCCGTCTTCTGAATGCAGGCGAGGTGCTTCTTCAACAATAGAGGTTTGCATTGACCCATCCTTGCCTGCCGCTCAGGTTGGTAGCCATTTGCCAGCACATCAACAACGGGAAATCACGAGCATTCTTTCGAAGCACGCTGAAGTATTTGCTCGTGAAGAGGATGACTTAGGTCTGTACGAGGGTGTTGAACACTCAATCGACCTTCTTCCCGATGCTGTGCCATACAGTCGATCCCCTTACCGTTACTCTGCTGCAGACCGTCGTTTTCTTGAGGCTCAAATAAGCACACTCCTTCGGCAAGGCATCATTCTACCAGCCTTAGGACCTTGGGCATTCCCCGCAGTGGTTGTCAGCCGAGGTAGCAAGAAGCGCCTTTGTGTTAACTATGTGCCCCTAAACAAGATGACTGTGAACGTCGTGCAACCACTTCCACATGCGGATGACATCATGGATGACATTGCTGGGTCACAGTACTTCGCCTGCCTTGACCTAAAG